TCATCATTCGGTCATACCAAATATATACAAAATTGACAAATACACAAAGATGTGTAATAGTAGGTCATTTTTATTTTAGCCTTAGAAATATTTTCTTTCACTCAGTCCACGTCCATGCGTGGGAATTCTATTTAGCTTCATGGTCCTTCGGCTTGTCTTCTGCTTGGGGGGAAACAACAATAATTATACAAATCGTAAACTCAACACAATCAGGAAAAGAAACCCAGACAACCTTGTTGTACTTCTGTTCAATACATTTTGTAGCAGTGAGTCACGTCGGAATATTGTCTAAAATAAAATATTCAATCCCAGCCAAATCTAGGTCAAAGGGTCAGATTGCGTGCATATAATTATAGATAGTTAAAACAAAAAGTATTTGAACTTTTGACGGTTGTTCAACATCTATGCACGGTTACTAAACTAGTAACCGTGATCTATGAAAACCAGAAAATTTTTAGTAGTCCGAATTGTTGCACGGTCGAAAATAAAACGGAAATTGACCGGTCAAAAGCGGAAGCGGTCAAGAGGTTTGGGGGAAATGAGTACAGTACTTCTTTGTTTGATGAAGCGATGCTGATGCCACATTGTCGCCATAATGAGGCCACAATGAAGCGAAGCGATAATCGCCTAACTTTTTAATGTCGCGACATTGAAGCGATGCTGAAGCCATAACAATGCCATAATGATGCGATGCTGAAGCGAAGGTGAAGCTGAAGTGAAGCCAAAGCTTCCGCGAGAACTGTACTGTAGTATCCCTAATGTAGTGTGAAAATAGACGTAAAATAAAGACAACTATTAGTTTGTATTTCAAATTCAAGTGACATCATTCCAAATGCATTATCAAGGTATTACACATGTCCCTGGGTAATATAGTCTCAGAGTGACCTATTTATCTTGATTCAGAAAGCTTATTGTTATCCTGAGGTTGAGTATAAAGTGATTTTGGTGATTCTATCTCACCTCCATATTTATATGTTTGTTTTCAGGGTTTGAATAATTTGGGAAATACATGTTTCTTCAACGCAGTCATGCAGGTATTTTCAACATCCATTCAATAGTAGATTTATATTTCCTGTTATCCATGTATACACTGTCTTGTATATTAACAACATAATACTGATAAATCTACTATAATTTCCTCAGAATAACTTTTTATAATCTATAATACTTTTTGCTGGGAAAGGATTGACCAGCTTTGTTATTAGTCCAAGAAAATTGTTCAGCTTGTTGATAGATAGTGATAATTTTTGAAATGTTTTATTTTTCAACAAAACCTGTACTAGTCTTTTTATGTGCTTCTCATTTGACAGTTTTCATTCTAAAATACAAAAAAATATTAAAATATCTATATTTTCATTTGGATAAAAGTTTTTCTAAATGAATTGTATCAGAATTATGAACAAGTAACAAAATTCCAAATGTGACAAGTCTTTTAGACTGTTTTAGTCGATCATTGTCATTACACATATCCCATGCTAACAATATTATTAATATTATAATTTTCACAGAATATGAATCAAACCCATGTACTGGAACCATTGATGTCAGAGCTGTGTAAGAAAGGTAAATCTGTCATCGTACCCCAAGAACTCGGCACGGACCGAAATATGAAACATGAAGAAAGTAAACTGGTAAGTCTTACTGCCCTCTATAGTTGAATATTTGAAAGGCTGATTTTGATTTTTACTTGAAATGGTGTACATTCCTCACACTATTTGTCTGTGTATTTAAACGCTCTTCATCAGAACAAACTTGTTTGATGTTCAAAAATGACTTCTATGTTTTTATCAGCATCAATTTTACAATGAATACTGTACTCTTAGAACATGCTCTTTGGCAATTTTGTCTCGATGAATTAGCTGAATGTTATTTAACTAAGGAAAGAACAGCAAAAGTACCAACATAATAGAATAAACAGTAAAAACAACTGCACTTTTTACGCACAGTTATTGAAATAACCTTTGACCCCTATTGAGAGGTTACATTTGCTGTGTGCAAATGTTACTATCCACTAAAGGGTCATCAATCTCAGAATTAATCCTCAATAAATATAATACTATGATACTCTTCTAAAACTGCTTCATTTCTACAAAATAAAATGCAGAAATAGTTCAGTACTTTGCACAATTCAAATTGCACAAAGGGAGATGATCACCCCATTCACTAGACCCTCTGTGTTAGTAGTTTGTTTGTTAATGACGCCTTGAACTAACTAAGTTAGCTAAAATTACATGCTAGCTTAAGAATAATGTATTGTAAGTGAGTTATTTTTCTTTAGAACCATTGTTGTCATTAATGGATGTACAAATTATACTTTTATGCCAATGCTGTTGGATTGACGGCACTTAATTGTTTGCGTTTGTTTGACTTCCATAGCCTCCACTGTCTGTGGTATTACCAGAGGCAGGGTCGTTGACCTCAGCTATGATGTTCTTTCTGAAACTGATGAATGAACCAGGAAAGAGTATTGTCAGTCCAAGACTTCTCTTCAACCAAGTCTGTCAAAAGTAAGTTAAAAAGTCGTGCATACTGATAATGTTTTGTAACCCTTGATGCCTTAAAAACTGAGCACCTTCACCGTAATAATGATTTGATATGAAATGACAGCAATAATGATTTGTTATGAAATCACGGTAATAATGATTTGATATGAAATGACAGCAATAATGATTTGTTATGAAAGTACGGTACGGTAATAATGATTTGATATGAAATCACTGCAATAATGATTTGATGTGATATCACTGCAATAATTATTTGATGTGATATCACTGCAATAATTATTTGATGTGATATCACTGCAATAGTGATTTGATGTGAAATCACTGCAATAATGATTGTTATGAAATGACGGTACGGTAATAATGATTTGATATGAAATCACTGCAATAATGATTTGATGTGATATCACTGCAATAATGATTTGATGTGAAATCACTGCAATAATGATTTGATATGAAATGACAGCAATAATGATTTGTTATGAAATGACGGTACGGTAATAATGATTTGATGTGAAATCACTGCAATATGATTTGATATGAAATCTTTTATAACTTTTTATAGTGTTGGACTCTTGTTACAATAAAATACAATTGATAATCACAGCAGAAAACTACTGTAAAACACTTTAAATTCCTGTGGGGAAAAAAATCGAGAACATTTTTATTCAAATCGTGAACATTACTAGGAGTCAGCGAAAATTAAACACTTTTATTTTTGCCCAATATTTTTTCAGAGCGCCCAGATTCAAAGGTTACCAACAACAAGATAGTCACGAGTTATTGAGATATTTGTTAGATGGTATGCGTCTGGAAGAAGTCAAGGTAATTATACTTAATCTCAGACCTCGCTGATCTCATCTGATTTAAGATTAGCATCACACAATCAGTGGATTTATGTATGAATGGATTATGTGCAGTGAAGATTGAACCAAGTACTGTAGTGATTATTGTTTCAAAATTACGTTCTATGCTCTACTTCGTTCAAACTGAAAAAATAAGGCACGTACTAAGACTTGATTGAGCCACAGACCAAAGTTCATTCCATTAAAGGATGTGACTTTGGGAGGAACACTGGTTAATTTCCTGGGCCTTTAACTTTTATCAAGTCAATGTAGAAGTGCATAGGGCTAGCAGGATAATATTCAACTGTTTGTTTCCTGTGGTATGGTTTCTGCAGCCTAATACACTGTTTGTTTCATGTGGTATGGTTTCTGCAGCCTGATACACTGTTTTGTTTTGTTTACACTTGCACTTAAAGTGCCTGTGAAATGGCTGCTATTTTCACGCCTAAAATTATCAATTGGTACATAAATATTATTAATTTTTATGTTTCTAAGCATGAATTATTATTTTTAAGTGAAAAAATGTGTTTTAAACTCAGTCTATGACAACTTTATTTTTGTGTATTTTAAAACGAGGCTCTTCATTAGCTTCTCATTTGCATACATAAATTCCCCTCTTGTGACGTTAGAAGGGGAAGTCGCATGGCA